CGGACGGCCAGGGTGGTCGTGGTGCAGGAGGTGGGACTAGCTCATAGTGGCCTCCACCCTTCTTCCGTGCAGGCTTAGCAACCTGCTGCTTCGGCCGCCACTCCTCCTTGATCTTTTTGTTCGGAGGCGAGACTGGATGGAGTGGCGGCGAAGGAATGATAGGAGGGTCCTGCAAAATGAGAGGTGCAGAAGGATACACGACAGGCTTGTGTACCTGATCAGAAAGGGCATGCACAGGTGTGACAGCAATCATAGCACAGTGATTGAATTCAGTCACAGAAAAAACAGCCTATTCATTCCCAGCACGCAGGATCAGTTTACCATCATGCACATCAATAAGTGCCTTGGCGGTGGCAAGAAATGGTCTACCCAGAATCAAAGGCACATCCACATCCTCATGTATATCAAGAATAACAAAATCAACAGGATATGTGAATGCACCTACATTAACAAGCAGATCCTCAATGATTCCCCTAGGATGCACAATGGAACGATAAGCTAGCTGAATGCTCATCCTAGTAGGGCTAAGTTCACCTAGGTCTAGCTGTTTATACAACTTGTATGGCATGACGTTTATGCTAGCGCCTAGGTCCGCCAAGGACTTGCCTACATGCATGCTGCCAATAGTAAGAGGGATAGTAAAACTCCATGGATCCTTACGCTTTTCGGGCAGCTTGTTCTGCAGGATAGCAGAACACTCCTCACTGAGCATCACTATCGAAAGATCCCCAAGTTTCTTCTTGTCGGTGAGGAGGTCTTTCATGAACTTGGCATACTTGGGCATCTTCGACAGTGCCTCCACGAACGGTATGCTGATGTTGAGCTGCTTCAACATTGCCATAAACTTGGCAAACTCAGTCTCCAGCTTGTCTTTGTGTAGGCGAGTGGGGAAGGGAAGCTGGGGCACATGCTCCTTAACCACTGGTTGTGGCTTGGGAGCAGGAGCTTCCTTCTCCACCCGCATTTCTGCATCGTCGGCTGGAAGTGCTGAAGCAGGTAGTGGTTCCTCCTGTCTGGCTGGGACAGGATCAGCAGATATGGTCCTACCGCTCATGGTAAAAATGGCATCCAGCTGCTGATGCTGGTGAGGATCACGAGGATTCGGAATAGTGGTGGCAGGCAAAGTCCACGGTGCCCTGGTAGTGTTTTGGCAGGCCAAGATACCCACCTGGTGCTGCAGATCTTGGTTCCTCTGACCTGCCTCCAGTGAGGCTACGCTCTGGTCCAACCTCGTGATAGTTGCCTGAGTGCTAGTCATGAATGAGGCTAGAATATTTTCCAGCTTCGTCATCCGATCATCTGGGGCAGGAGCTGCTGCTGGCTCGGCAAACTGGCACTGGGGCTGCTGGAATGGTTGCCCCTATCGAGCCTGGAAGGGATGCCTCTGCTGAAAACCACCGGCTGGTGCTGGGAAACCAGGTGGTTTAGTGGTGTTGCTGCTCCAAGCGAAATTGGGATGCTGGCGCCACCCCTCATTATATGTGTTGCTGTACGGGTCGAGGCGCCGAGCATTGGCGATGAAGTCCAACTGCTCTTGGGGAGTAGTAGACTCCCTCATAGCCTGGCAGTCTTCCTCTAAGTGATTAGAGCTCTCACACCACTGACACTGAGCTACTGGAGGTGTAGCCAAACCTCTGCCCGGAATAAGACTGTTGGGCTGCTTCAATGTCTGCACTAGCTCAGCTACCTGCTGCTCGAGCCCGGATCTGGTCTCCATGGCGTGCACACCATGGTCCCGGGACTGTCTGCCTCGGCTACCCTGTCCCCAAGAATGATCTCTGGCAGCCAAAGTACTGATCATCTGGTTCAGCTCGGGTGGAGTCTTAGTAAGAATATCCCCTCCTGGGCATAGAGGCTCAATCACCCTCTGGCTGTCTGGAGAGAGAGCACTATAGAAGTTCCCCACTGTGAATGCATCACTGAAGCCATGATGGGGACACTGCCAGAAATAGCCCATGTACCGCTCCAAAGCATCACGAAGTGACTCATCTGGCTCTTGGCGGAAGTGAGTGATCTCCCGCTGGATCTCTGTAGTCTTCGATGCCGGATAGTACCTGTGCACGAATTTGTCAGCTAGATCGTCCCAAGAGGTGATTGACAATGGGGGCTGGGTCTCCAACCACCTTTTAGCATTCCCCGCCAGAGAATGGGGGAAGAGATGAAGGCGGATTGCATCATCCGGGACACCATTCAGCTTGAACCCGTTCGTCAGCTGCAGAAAACGGGAAAGATGTACCCTGGCCTCCTCATCCTTCAAGCCATGGAACTGGATAGAGGATGTAATGAGCTGAATCCAGCATGGCTTGATCTCAAAGTTGTTCGCTGGTATAGGCGGGTAGAGGATGACCGGGCGGATGTCAGCAATCCGTGGAGTGTAGTAGTACTCCAATGTGGGACCCGGCGGCGGTGGATGATGATGAACCCCATGATCCTGGGATATGGGGTTGTTCACCAGGACCTGATTCACCGGGGGAGCCTGCTGAGGATTCCCCTGGTGTTGATTGTACTCTCCGTCCATCCTGTACTCTTCCTCAGAATCGCTGCTCAGGTGGCCGTCTATGCGCTCTTCCGTAGCCAGTCTAGCTCGTTGTTGTCTCCTGAGTTGGCGACAGGTACGGTCAATCTCTGGATTCAATGGCAGTAAACCTCCCGACTGGCTACGGGTCATGCACTACCTGCACACACTCAAGCAAGCAAACCCGTGAACGCACAAGTGGGAAAAAGCAAACAATGCGAAAAGAAAAGCTAAATTAACAGAAATCACTTTTCTTCAACAACCTAGCCGTCCCCGACAACGGCGCCAAAAACTTGACTTGCACGGCCGTGTGGGTTGTGGGTGTGCCCGTGTGGCTTCCTTTGTGACTTGCCTCGCGCCCGATCTTCGCCCAATCGACCCCGAACTCGCTCCTAAACCTTCATTCACTTGCCAGGACCTGAAATATCACAAACAAGCACAACCTAGCATGAAATCGGTCTAAAACACGAGAAACCACATCTCAAACGGTGTAAGAACAGGGGTGAAAACATGTGTAATTATCGGTCTATCACCCGCCTTCGAGGATATGTTCCCATAAAGAAGATACCTCTCAGGCAACTTAAATGGATTGTGCAGCCCATGCTTAGGACAATTGGACAAGCTCTCCACAAATGGCCTGATGCCTTTCTCATCTACTTCAGCAACTCTAATAAATGGCTCCTCGTTAAAAGGATCCACAATTGTGTTCCACCTAGAAGATCCTCCCCATTTCCTCTGCACCCGGTTTTGTACTTCAGCTGGTCTAGCACCCGATAACTCTTCAGCATCTACGGTTACGAAGGGTAAAGAATGAGCAAACCGCCTGGAATGATTGAGCAAACTTAGCCAACCAGGACCTTTCTGTGCGGCGGCTGTATCTCTCAGCAGCGTGGCGGAAACAACAGACCTGTACATGATCTCGGATTGGCGAGGGTTTTTGGGAAATCAATGAGGCGGCGGTTCTCCACTCCTGCCTGCTGCTGGTGGAAACAAATTAACGAGGGAGGGGTTTGGGATTGTGGCCGCTCGGCCCTCCCGTCCCATACTTTAATTTTTTTTACAATAATAATAATAACAATTATGTTATTATTATTATTATTATTCCTGGCCCGCGATCATAATCCTTCGTACGTAACCGTTAACCCAACCGTTCACGTATTTTGGTCGAACCTGAACCCCACAATTCTGGGTGTTACAATTTTGCCTAGTCTGAAACGTAAAAACGTGCATTGTTTTGTTTTAAGACGCATATTTTACTACATTGGTCGCCGGCTCTAGTGCATACGCCAACATCGCCACCATCCTCCCGTCGTTTGTCTGTAGGGAGTTGTTTGGAGGGGTGGGGGGGGGGGGGGTAAAAGATCGTTGTGTGACCAATATTCCCGCACTCAAAATATACTACTAGCAAAATGTCATACTCCAAATATTGTCAACATCCATCAAGCCAAATCTGGAGAATTATGGGCTTAGATAGACTGACCTCCACGGCTATTCGGGCAAACATGGGTTACTTCTTATGCAAGGTGTGGTAGTCAAGTTTGATTTATCTTCCAATCATTTTTCCAATCGAAATAGAACTTCCTTATAGTATAAGTGGATTGGTTGAGTATGAAATTACACTCATACCACCTTCGACTTGGGGAGTTTTTCCGACAAGCGAAAATTTAAGAACCACTGTTGGTACCACCAGGTAGTGATAAAAGCACGAAGATAGTTTGATTTGTTGTTTGATTTGACAAGAAAGCAATCGTGGCCTAAGCCCAAAATCTCCATGACACCAGTAGGTCTCCATTGAGCGCAAAGGTTATTGTTGAAAGTGGTCAACAAAATTGAGTCCCGTGGCATTTACCACTAGATTTTGTTGCCAAGGACCACATAATCTCTTTTTGAAACACACTGACTCATTCAGCGCTGGTTAGCCATTGTGAAGTTTTTGGAATGATATCACATTCTCCCAATAGTGTCCACGTGACTACCTTGTGTTGACTTCTTGGCTCTTCCCAAATACTACGTTGACATATTAAATTTCTAGTAACACTTGAGAAGGCGTACTAGGCAGCAATGAAGGATTCAAGGCCATATGCCCTTGATCTTGCGTTTCCCTTCATTTCTACTAGGGGGTGTTCAATAGTTGAGGTTTTGTCTGATCCATATGTCCTTGTTCCAGATCCTAGAGGTTGAGAGTCTGACGGCCCGCTGTATGGGTTGAACTCTATTGTCAACAAATGCTCGTCGATTTCCATAGAGAAAAGCTCAGAGCATTTTCAAACCAAACAAATGCACACATGTGTTGGATTGTAAGTGGTAAAACAAAAAGTTTCACAATAAAAATATGCTAATTTATAGATTTTATTAGAAGTTAGAACTATAAAATTCATAAGTCAGAAAGCACACATTGACAATAGTTGAGGACACAACACATATTCACACAACTTTCCACATTTCCTTTTTCTCTCTTCATCTCCTTATACAAACTATAAGTATATATTTGGAGTTTATTTTATTACAACCCTCCACTCAAGAAATAGGCAATAAAATCTGTTGGATCAAATCTCTCATGTTTGTAGTACTACGCTTGTCCAAAACTCTAAACAGAATTACCCAAGAAATTCTTGAGCCAGGTCACAGAGTTCTTAGGATACCTCTTCAAGTTGTCCTTATAGTCTACAAAGTAGAGACCAAATCTTGAAGTGTATCCAGCTGACCATTCCCAATTGTCCATCAAAGACCACACAAAATACCCCTTCACATTGCATCCATCTTCCCTACAATTTTATGCAACCGGCCAACATGATTAGCCTTTGTTTTCACAAATACTTATAACTTATGTAAGAAGTCTATTGTTTTGTTGGAACTTTACTTGACGGAAGCCAATAAGTTTGTGAGATAGTCATTAAGGTAATTTATCCTTTTATCATCTTTTAACGCATCTTGAAGGGGGATGAACGGGCTGTTTGGATCATCCATGCCTGCTCCAACAAAATCATTCCAAAATTCACAATTATCAAGAGAAATTTCAACCATTTGAATAGTTGTGAGATGGAGCTATAAAATTGTCCAGAACATATATACCATTTTCGGTGATGAACACTGGAGGGTTTCCATATCTATTCTTGACATAGTTCATTAATTTTCTCATACCTTCCGGTACTATATACAACCATATCGAATTCGCCTGCAACACAACACGAACATATGAATGGTGGATAAAATTCATCTTCTAGAAGTCAAATTAAAACAATGTTACTCACCCTGTCTCCAATGGGTTTCCCATCTTTGATTGCTGCAAACCAAGAACAGACGGTTATTGATTAATGACATTCAAGTGATTAGTGAAATACGTATATATTATATTTACTTACGGAAAGCAGTGGTTCCAGAGTCAACAAGGGTGTCATTAAGGAGGTTAATGATCCCACACGAACTATTCCTCGCATAATACGTCGTATAATGGTTAATGCCAACAAAGTCCAACGACCCTTTGACCAGAGAGACATCAGAATCTGCGAACTTTGGCAGACGGGTCCCGACCCGGCTCCTCATCGAGCTTGGATAATCTCCCAACATCATCGGGTCCAAAAACCAGCCCAACTGAAAATCTTGGGCCCGTTGGGCCGCTTCCACATCTTCCGGCGAGTTGGTTCCAGGCTCGAACCAAATAACATCAAATGATACCCCAATAGATCCCTTCTGGGTTGGCTTGTACCTCCGTCGGTAGATGTCGGCCGTAGCAGCATGAGCGAGGATCGTGTGGTGCGCAACGATGTATGGCTCGACGTCCGAGTTCCCTTCTTTGCACCAGAGGCGGAAGGAGCATCGGCCAGGTGCCTGGAGGCCCGAATCGTAGCCCTGCACCGTGAACGTGTGAGGCTCGTTGAACGTGATCCAATGTTTCACTCTGTCCCCGAATTTCATGAAGCATGTCTCTGCATACCTCGCATAATCTTTTCTGTTGCACAAAATTTTGCATTGAAAAATATAGTCAAAGTTCGATTTTACGCACACACGAATTAATGATGTTTTGTTGGGAGCTATATATTTACATGATCTGAGGGTCCAACCATCCAGTGTAGTTGTCGTACAAGGCTTGAGGGAGGTCCCAGTGGTACAATGTGACGTAGGGCTGGATTCCATTAGCTAGCAACGCATCGATGAACTCGTTGTAATGGTCCACTCCACCTTGATTGATTTGCCCATTTCCATCTGTGCAAAATGGTTTAAATAATTTACAAACAAGCACATAATCAATAATTTACAAATAATAATGGTTTAAATACAAACACTTACCAGGATAAATGCGACTCCAAGAAATGGAGAATCGATAGGAGTCGAGGCCCATATCCTTCATCAACTGAATGTCCTCCTGTTTTCAAAATCCAAATTATTCCCTATTTAATTTTTTTTATGATGTAATGAGATCCAAAACAAGCCTAAATAGATGTGAGTTTTTGGTTTAATTACAGTGAAGCGATGATACTGGTCCACGGCAACGTCAGCATTGCTAAAATCGATTATTTTGCCTGCAAAGTTGGGTGATGTTCGATATAAGCATTAATGATACTTCTTATGTTGTCGAATCAAGTATTCTAGCTGATCTTCTTTGATAAATAATGGAGGGTGATTCTATAAAAAAAAATGGAGGGTGATTATTTACCAAAGGTGTGAGAATATGTGTCCCAAATGGTTTGTCCTCTTCCTTCCACTTCTACTGCTCCTTCGTACTGCACAATTTGAGAAAAAAAATTACTGGCCAAATTCATTTGGGCTTTCTCCGAACTAGTTAATAAAAAATCACAACGCGTCGAATTGGATCGAGTTTCTCCAGACCCAAATTCAACACAACAAGTGTACTTGTAAATCAATAGCACTAAATTATTTACTGAATTTTGGAAAAGAAAAACCAACCCAACCTAAAAGTTACCCATGGGCCACGGGTCAATGAATAATCATGAATTTATGTTCCATATCAAATAATACTCACACTCTTATCTTATCAAAATTTCTTATAATTATATTGTTCATAAACACTAATAACATTTATTAATTATCCATATTATTAAAATATATTGTGATAAGAAAAACTTAATAATACTTGTAAATTACTCACATTATTCAAACTAGATTGAAACCCGGCCCGTTGGCCGGATGCAGTATCCCAAAAGTAAAAATATACGTACTATTAAATTAGTGAAAAATAAAAAATGAACAAACATCATAATATTTTTTGATCGGTCATCAATAAAAGTACCATGCATGTTGGATGGATGCATTATTTCAAACACATAAGTAACAATTGTAATTGTACTAAGTAAGATATATTTTTATTGATATCAAAAGTCAAAATATTTAAACTATTCAATTAATGGGAAAATAAAAAAAAGGAACATGCATCATAGAGTTTTCTTATATTCTAACCGGTTCATCAACGGAGGTTCTTACTGAAAATTAAAAATAGAACTCATGGAAGGGGACTTACTCTTAAAAAACTTAATCAAACTACATTCAATTTACTACTTGAGTAGAAATTACTATAATTTTTCTTATGGACTTCTTTGTTATTGCTTCACCATATGTGTCATTATCTCTGTCAATAATTATAGTTTTATATTCATCACTAAAGTCTCTCTATCCATCATCAATAATCTATTTCTTATTCTCAACAATATCACTACTCACCATCGCTATTTTTTAATTCAATACCTCCATCAAAAGAATTTTTCTTCTTCACCTTCATTTCATTGAAATTTTATTTAATCGTAAAACTAAGATGTTTGCAAATATGAAACCTTTATCGTTTAAAGGCCTTAATTGGCTACTAACTTTAAAATCCCACACGTTTAGTTCCCAAACTAAAGATTATAAATATTAAGTGGATATATTGATTATTAATGAATAAAAATCCTAAAAATACATGTATACATAATGTGGACATATTTATTTGTTTTAGAAGTCTAAAAATATTTGGCCTAGTTATTATTAATGAATAAAAATCTTACTATTACACGTATAAATAAGTATAGACAAATTTATTTGATTTAGAAGTCTGTAAAAATTTGGACATATTTATTATCAATGAATAAATCCTACCACTTCATGTATAAATAAGGCATAGACATATCAATTTAATTTAGTAGTCTAAAAATGCTTTATTTTAATTGTTTAAATGACAAAAAATGTCCTTCCTACAAACTCTCACAAGGCTGGAAATTTTGAATAGAGTATGTTGTGATTGAGAATTTCTATATAGTAATAGTAGGATTAGATATAAACAATTATTGAGCAAATTGGATGAGAAACAGATCATATTTTAGCAAAAACCCGCAGCCGACTATACTAAACTAAAACATTATGCGACTGTCAGAAGATTATCTGCTAGAAAAGAAGGGGAGATTGAGACTCTCTGGCTTATAAATGATTCTTTTTTCCCGTGAGCCTAGAGATGTGTCACTAATTAGAACAACAACTTGGGCACACACATAATGAATAGAGTCAGTAATCGTCAGACCCAGATCGTCAGCAGTTCATATGCCACAGTAAGAATTAACTGCAAAAGATGCGGCCAGATTTTGGTAATTAACCAGTGGGGAAATGGGTATTACGCTAATTGATCAATTAATTAACGGTTAAAGGAGGGGGAAAGCCAATCGAAAGTTTTGATTTACTGGTTTACTCGAGAGGAAAATGGAGAAGTAATAACGAGAAAACAGAGCAGTAATGATGGTGTTTAAATTAATCATACTTGGAAAGCAGCGGAGGCAGTTCCGAAGGTGAAACCCTTGGGGAAGCTGGTCCGGCCAATAATGCTCTGCGGCTGGGAAAATCCAATTCCCAACTCCATAGCCACAATCAGAGTCGCCAACAACGCCATAGCGGCCGTCACCATTGTTGCAGGAGGTGTAGTAGCAATGCCAATGCCGCCTTTGCGCCTTACCACTGAAGCTATATGTGTGTGTGTGTGTGTGTTAGAACTTAGAACTGCTCTGTTTGATTGGGACAGGGGCGGAAAGAAGGAGATGAGGTCGATGTGATTTCTGGTTCTGGGTGTTGTAGATGCTTTATAGGAACGAGAGGGAGAGACAGAGACGGTTGATTGATCAAACCCGGCAGCTGTTGGAGGAGAAGGGAGAAAAAGGTGATAGGGAAGTTGCTGAAAGGGTGGAATCTTGGCGGCGACGGTGGTGGTGATTGCTTCGATGCTATATGTGAGAAAATGTTTTGTTTGTTTATTCCAGCTTACAGAAGGCAGTGGAAAAAAGAAAAAAAGAGGGATCAATATCACCACCGTGCTTCTCATCGAAAGGGTATTATACTAAGTAGCCTTGTCTGGCTCTTACCGGGATTGTTTTGTCATTGATTTGTTGTGTTGTGTGGGAGGCTTTGTGCCAATATTTTGTCTTTTGGTGTGATCCTCTCGTTCGGGATTTTCTATATGACATAATAGATTGTGTGCGCATTCGTGTTATGAGTTTTTTCACATGTCATTATTATTTGTTTGGGTTGGATCTAGTTCTTAAGTCATATGTCAATTATGTTATTGTATTTTGTTGTCAAAATGTCGAAATAGAAGTGAGTAAGAAGCATTAAATGTGGTAGTTGCGACCAATGGATATAAAGGGGTTTTGTGAGGGTCACTACTACTATAAATTAGGGATGGCAATGGGTCGGGCTTTGCCAAACCCAAACTCAAATTCGTGGGTTTATCCGTGAAAAAAACCCGGGGTAGAATCCCACTGGGTTTGAAAAACACAAACCCAACCCAACCCGTTGGGTATCCACGGGTTCATGGTACCTACGGGTTTTTGTCGTAAAAAATTTACTATAACAAATTTCTATCAAAATTAAAGTCAAATATCTATCTCTCAATACAAATTATCCATATATAAAACATCATTCTAGAAAATACAAGCAAATCACAAATTAACTATACAAATTGTTCAACACCAATCTAGAAAACTCAAGAAAATTGAAGCAAATCACATATTATCCATAAATAACATGATTAATTGAAAGTTTCTTCCTTTCAATTAAGTTTTTTCGCTCTCCACTCGATAACATCAACTTCATTCCACACAATTAGAAAGAACAAATTAGACATGTCTCCACAAACATAAATAAGATTAGTTGGTTAGAATATTAAATATACCAAGAAAATTATTATATGGGTGTGGGCGGGTACCCATGGGTCGGGTTTACCTAAACCCAAACCCAACCCGATGAATAGTGAACGGGTTTAAATCCAAACCCGGCCCAAAACCCGTCAACACGGATTTTACCCACGTTGACCGGGTTGGGTCAGGAGGGTACCCGTGGGTTCGGATTTTGTTGCCATCCCTACTATAAATAGTGGGAATGTAACTACTAGCCACATTTAAGATGAATGATTTCTCTCGCTAACTAGCATTACACATTTACACTTATCTCTCTAAAATGTTTTTTATAGAACTAACTTGATCGTTGAATAACTTACGAGGAAGACAGTCCTCTGGTGTTTGTGTTTGCAGGTGTTGGCTCAGACTTCAGGCCAATGTGCTCTTTCTCAATCCACATCAAGGGAAGTAGGTGAAGGGGGCAATTAGGCTTAAAAATTGGATGCGCTATGTAGGGGCGGCGGCTATTTGCGATGAGGAAAACGATGCTCAGATACACCATTGAAGAGCAAGTGGGGGAGAATGGATAGAATTCAGATCCCCTAACATCGGAAGAAAGGGAGTCATCTAGACTCATAAAATGTGAAGAGGAGATGTTAGACGCTCAGCCCAACATGAATGAACTATTGGAAGCAATCAACTACCAAAAGTGTTGGTTGAACTGTTAAGGCGCGTTGTCTAAGTGTTGAGGAAAGAGGGAAGTACGGTGTCTAGTTTATCATCAATAAAAGGGAAAGAAAACAATACAAATGATGAGAGGGGTAAATTTTCTTCAAAAGACCAACTAAATTACCTTCCCGGAGCACCTAACGACTCACTATGACATATATACGATGAGTGACAGGGAGAAAGATGCTCGTCCTACAAGCGACTAGGCAATATTGGCTATAATTTGGGGCATTGGTTTGAGCCGAGGGAGGGTGAAGACTGCATGAAATGATGGAAGAAGGTGTGGGATGAGGCCTCGAATGCACAGTTTAAAGATTGGTGTGTTTTATTATGATTTTGTTGAGAGGAGAAGAATGTACAGTTGTTTAATTGAATTAACTTGCGGTTGATGAGATTGACCGTATATCCAACGGAGCGCAAATGAAGTATCTCTTACTTTTCTTTTGAAATTGGGAGTTCCTTCTAATGCCTTGAGCTAATGGAATTGACTGTAATCGTAATTAATTTTAGGGTTGACACCACAGAGAGCCAGGGCATGGCCTTGTCAAACTTGGAAATGACCACCTCAGGGACTTGGAACAGAGTCTTGGACGGGTCGCGGATTAGCACTTCAGCAATTTCAGACGAATGTTTATGTTCAGCAACCACCGCTCATCGACGGGCCAGGTAGGAGGGGTTTTCAATCCTAGCAAGCTTCGCGATGAGGAAGGTGTACCTTCCCACCAGATACTTCTCCAACTCCAACCATGACTCCCTATGCTACCTTTTCCCTCACCAACGTCTCCTGAAGCTTTACTTCTTTGGAATATGATGACAAAGAGGTGGTAATCATTGGCAGCGATCCCAACAGCTTTGTGGTGCCATCAAGATTCAAGACAGTGTAGCTCGGCATCAAATTCACATTCCCGACATCTTTGTGGTGCCATGAGATAGCCCTTTCAAAGGTTGGGAAAGAGATGGAATAGCGGAGCTAGACACATTAACTTATCACAGGTCGAGATGGGAATTGTTCTGCATCACTCCACTTCCCTTTCAATATCACTTCCCCCCCAACTTAATGTATTATAAGGGGTTTTCAATATATTTCCTTTTCAACAACATAAACTCAAAAGAAAACTTACCAAATAAAACCCATCGATGGATGTCTCCCCTGGCGCTAGTAAGACTCAAAGTCGCAGGCGGCTACCTTTCTTTCTTCCCACCTCGTCTGTAAGTGGAACACCAAGTGAACATCAAAACAACAAAATACAAACAGAAATTGGATTGAAAAAAAATCCAAAAATACAAAAACTTACCCAACGCTCCCAAGATCCGGATTCTTCCTTCGCCGGCAAGACGCGAAAGCCATGTGACTCCTCTTTCTTCCACTCGAGCTAACCCCAGAAAGAAAAATCCAGAAAAGCAAAACAAAAAAGATCAGAATCATAAAACTCAAACAAATCGAATTAAAAAAAGAAGAAGAAGACCCATCTAACCTCCATGTGATGAAGCCCAGTGGCGGACCCAGAAATTTTTCATAGGGGTGTCCTATTTTAAAAAATAAATTTAATAAAAATAATTAAAAAAAATAAAATCGTAAATATGAAAATACCTTACTCGTACAGGTTAAAAAAGTCCATGATGTGTTTTCATATTCGAAAATAATTGTAGAATACACTTGGTGTTTATAGTGTTAAAAACAATTCTCTATATACCCTACTAGACAATCATTCAGGAACTTATCGCATATTCGATTTGTAAACTTGTTCTTGATGTAACCCAAAGCTGAAAGACTCTTCAACACTTGTCGTACAATCATAAAATCAATACAAATTAAGGGTAGATTGAAATTAGTTTAGATTGAAATAATTAGAGATAGGGAATGACTTTTTACTATTACACATTGTTCAAAATCGAACACCAAATGAGTTGTAGCTCAACGTAAATTAAGTTTATTAATAATAATAGTGTTCTAGATTTGAATTACCCAACCTACCATTTATATTTTTATACACAAATGACAGTAGGATAATCATTTTTTCAAATTTCAGAGGTGTCCCTCACTATCAATTATATTTTTTTGTCTATACGTAAATTACCACCGGGGGTTGAATAATTATTTTCCCGAAATTTAGGGGTGTCCGGGGACACCCCTGAAGCCCCCTGGGTCCGCCCCTGATGAAGCCTCCTTCACTTCCAGATCTCCGATGAAACCTCGTCAACAGCCTCCACCGTCAATCCCAAAATACAACCCTTTCACTTCATAATCGAAACCAACAAACTAATCACAAAGATAAAAGATGCAAGCTCAAACCTATTTACCGTAATTGTGAAGCCATTCAGAGATGGAGGCGACGAATACATGCCCAAGTCATCAAATACCTAATCTTCAGAATAGTTGCAGAGATGTATTGCTAAACAGTGTGACAATCTGTAATCACTAATTATGGCGAGCAGCTAGTACATTAAGTAATTGGTTGGTAGAAAGATTAATCCCGGAATCACCTGACGTGTCTATAGAAGAGAGTAAGTAATTATGACTATTTGTCACTACATTCAGTATTCAAAAGCTAGATAGCTCTTCAACCATCCATAACCACTAACAGTTAATCTTGGAATGACCTCACATTTATATTTACTTAATACTTGTAATGCTCATTGCGTTGGTCTAACATCAAACACAACTGCATTTTAGACAAGCAGAAGAGCTACACAGATGCAAATCCACTTTGAAAAGATTGTGAATCGAATAAGCCAGGTATGTTGGACTTCTTATAACCATTTGTGTCCACTAATCATCTTTTTTTGTTAATTCAACCAGCCTTCTATTGTGGCAATCCCAAACCATTAACAGTTAATACTTAAATTACCTGATGGTTAGAAACTCTGTCGGATTAGGGATTATTTCCCTAAATACAGTGAAAATTAAAAGTAATTCCCATAATACATCACTTTTATAAATATTTCCCAAACTATCAAAGTTTGAACCGGTTCGAGTTTAACAAACTCGAACTAGTACCAGATCGATTGCCAAGGGATCGATCCACGTGCATCGAGTGAAATAGCCGCGATTAGCTGGAACAGGACGACGCGGATCGAGTGTGGTAAACTTGATTTACGTGGATCGAGTACAGAACACTCGAACTGATTGACATGGATCGCTGACATAAGCAGCGCTCCACCCTAGATCGAGGTAAAGGGAATCGAACTCCACCGTTCGATGGCCACATCCGCGATTTAGTGGTGACGCGGATCGAGTGGGGATAAATTGATGCACATGGATCGAGCACTTTGGAATCGATCTTCTTGACGCGGATCGATGACGTCAGACCCGCTCCACCGTAGATCGAGTTTGCCTAACTCGATCTGGTCGTTCGATTTGCCTGCACCCGAACTCCTTTTGACGCGGATCGAAGGCGGAAAAATCGATGCAGTGGTTCGAGTCCCCTAAACTCGATCCACCTCCTCCCACTGCACCTATAAATTCCCCCTCCCATTCCACCAAATCCCACACCACTCCATTCTTCTTCCTCTATTCCTCCCACCACTCTTGAAGAAAAAAATATGCTCTGTGGTTGCGGCTAAGCCCGATCTTCCGCATCATAT